TTGATTGGTTAAAAAAGATACATGACGTAAATAGAAACTCCCTTTTATTAAAAATAGAACAAAGCGATGCAATGTGATCAATTATCCGGTTTACAGTGCAATATCAATCAAAATTGTAGAACACGTGACCATGTCTTGAGAAATGCAAAATGCAGAATAAAAACAACAATGTAATAATATATTAAATTGCGGTTGATATACAGAACGCATGTATATGTTGATCCTCATTGGGGTGTTATCCTCCCTCTTCGTGGAAAAGTCGAGAACTGACACTGCTACCTGCGGGGTTTTGGGCACCAAGACTGCCACAACAAACCTGCCATTGGTAACTCAAGACAGGGCGTTTTGTTCGAAAAGTAAAGAACATTATTTTGTGTCCGTTATAAAACCTAACAATAAGTAATAATATCAATACATGTAAAATACCAAATGTCATTAAAAAATGGTTTGTCTTGATACTTTTTTCAGTTCAGTAGTGTAAAGGAACATGGTAGCAAATATAATGATCCTAAGCAGGGATCACTCTGGGTAAAATTTATTGAGATAAAAAATCTCTATCCTTCAAAAAGAATGAGATTTTTTTTAGAAAACAATGAGATATATGTGATTTTGCCTCAAATTTAGATAAAGACTAAACACTTCACACAGAGTCAAAATTCTTTATTTATAACACATCAGTAATGGAATTTGTAGCAGTCCCTCATTATCGTCTGAAGATAACCCTGGACTTCTTAGATTTCCAGTCACTGAAGGTCTGTTTGAAGGGGGATTCCTGCAAGCTTGGTCCCTCTATCATTATTCGCAGCAGCGTGTCATTTTCGACCACAGTTGATTCATTAGTCGTTTTGTCAGCACCAGCAAAAAACAGTCTTCTTCCGAGTGTTTGCATTTGGAAGGTCTCGGATGTTATCCTATGGTTGTTTTAAGCGCGTTATAAATAACAACAAGATTAGGAAGTCAAAATTCATGGTTTCAGTTTCCCTTTATGGCATAACACCCGTTATAAAGATAGCCAAAAAGGAAACAAATCCGCCTAAAAATTAGGATTCTACATCCGATAAGGAAGTAAGAACGTTCGTGAAGAATACCGGTATAATTAAGTACACAAATTCCTGTGAGACCTTAATATACACGAGTTTATTATTATGAAATACATACAACTATTAAGTACGCGTGTTCTTTTAAAACTACAGTGTACGCAGGTTCCGTTTAGACTACTATTGTGTACTCGGGTTCCTTAAAGGCTATCATTATGAACAAGGGTTCTTTTAAGGTTACTCTTGTGTATTCGGGTTCCTTTAAGACTATCATCAAGTACACGGGTTCCTTTAAGAGTATCATCATGTACACGGGTTCCTTGAAGAGTATCATCATGTACACGGGTTCCTTTAAGAGTATCATCATGTACACGGGTTCTTTGAAGACTATCATTATGTGCACGGGTTCTTTTAAGGCAACTCTTGTGTGCTCGGGTTCCTTTAAGACTATCGTTATGTGCACGGGTTCTTTTAAGGCAACTCTTGTGTACTCGGGTTCCTTTAAGACTATCGTTATGTACATGGGTTCCTTTAAGACTATCATCATGTACATGGGTTCCTTTAAGATTAGCATTATGTACACGGGTTCCTTTAAGACTATCATCAAGTACACGGGTTCCTTTAATACTATCATCATGTACACGGGTTCCTTTAAGACTATCATCATGTACACGGGTTCCTTTAAGACTATCATCATGTACACGGGTTCCTTTAAGACTATCATCATGTACACGGGTTCCTTTAAGATTATCATCATGTACACGGGTTCCTTTAAGACTATCATTATGTACACGGGTTCTTTTAAGAGTACACGGGTTTCTTTAAGACTATCATTATGTACACGGGTTTCTTGAAGACTATCATCATGTACACGGGTTCCTTTAAGACTATCATTATGTACACGGGTTCTTTTAAGGCTACTCTTGTGTACTCTGGTTCATTTAAGACTATCATCATGTACACGGGTTCCTTTAAGACTATCATCATGTACACGGGTTCCATTAAGATTATCATTATGTACACGGGTTCTTTTAAGGCTACTCTTGTGTACTCTGGTTCATTTAAGACTATCATCATGTACACGGGTTTCTTTAAGACTATCATTATGTACACGGGTTTCTTTAAGACTATCATCATGTACACGGGTTCCATTAAGATTATCATTATGTACACGGGTCCCTTCAAGACTATCATCATGTACACGGGTTCTTTTAAGACTATCATCATGTACACAGGTTCCATTAAGATTATCATTATGTACACGGGTTCCTTTAAGGCTATCATCATGTACACGGGTTCCTTTAAGACTATCATCATGTACACGGGTTCCTTTAAGACTATCATCATGTACACGGGTTCCTTTAAGACTATCATCATGTACACGGGTTCCATTAAGATTATCATTATGTACACGGGTTCCATTAAGACTATCATCATGTACACGGGTTCCTTTAAGACTATCATTATGTACACGGTTCCTTTAAAGCTATTATTGTGTGCACGGGTTCCTTCAAGGCCATTTTAATGATTATTAGTGTGTAGTTAAGACTACAAAGTTCGCATGTTCTTATAACCATTGTATAGTACATGTGTTCTTTAATACTACAAAGTACGTGAGTTCTTTTATAGCCTTTGATGTTTTGTTGCATAAGTACACCGGTTGCTTTTAAGACTGATACAAAAAAAGTCTTGTTTTTTATGATGTACAAGCTACTTTAGATTTTCAAATGTCCCGAAATTTCAAAATTGCCAAGGTCCAAGTCCAGCTTCTGTTTCAACAGTGTTTAAGGTATCTTAATGATTTGCATTCTTCCTCTTTTGAAGTTTTCATTTTTGAACAACGGCATATGTTTAGTGAGCAAGACATATTTGACTCCTAACTGACAAGACAAGATTATCTGGATGGGAGTTTCAATGGGATTACTGGTAATCCTGTGTGTCCAGACTCAATCAATGAAATAATTTCGGTTCTAAGGTGGAGGGTTATAGAATCAATAAGTCAGCCTTTAGCTATAGAAAGTCTGTGTCAGCGACACTTTATACCTGTACGGACAGATATAGTATTGATCTATTAGGGAAGCTACAATAATTCCTGTCCGGTTTTTATTGTTTAACCTATAGCGACCCGACGTATTGTTCATTATCTGATTGCCTGTATTCCAGTCAAAGTCTTAAAACAATCATATCGTTACCAGGACGAGTTTTTTTCTATCAATTGTTTAAAGTCTCAAGATTTAAAAGTCTTCTTTTAATAATGAAAAAACCGGTTTCCCGAGATCCAGTTTGACAGCTCTTTAAGTGATGGTCTCTATGAAATAGTCAATGTCACGTATTTAAATATCAACACTCGTGACTTCGAATAGTAATAAATGTACAAGTGTTACATTTTCTATGCGAAAGGTAAATCATTAATGCGTGGTGTGAGAGTTATGAAGACGGATATGTTAACCCAATTAGCATATTAATTAAAACAACGTGTCCTCGAGCGAAATTGTAAGTTTAATTTAGCAACAAATGTTTGTACTGTAAACTCCATGTTAATCTTGACCTCCAAATTTAATTATACCAACACAACGTAACTCATGAATTATTGTGAAATTATCATTCCTGGCTCCTAACCTTGAACAATCTTATCAGCACAGTGAATTAGCTAACTTTTTTATCAAACGCATCTTGACTATATCCTGTCATTAACGGCTAATAACACCCGACTTCCGACGAACTCCGCTGATCGGCAGTACTATCGATGTCTGCTCTTAAACACCACAGGTCCGTGTTGTATAAGTCTTTCCTTTGAAATGTCATGTACAACAATTAACCTGTCATTGTTTGGTCATTGATATAGCTGTACGTCAAGGTGCACTTAATCCATCACACCTGTCTAATTAATCAGAGACACGTACGCTCACGTGCCATGTAGTCAGGTTGACAAGACTCACGATACATATGTCAGCCATTGGTCATGAAAACTTTCCGATCTTGTGTGTAAATCGGCACAACATTAGTGTGTGTCCTGTATTACTAATTAGGTAAAGTGCCAACAACATGTCCAGTTTGGTTAGTATCTTATTAATTAAACGATAAACCCTAACTGACCTTCGATCGATTTCGCACCTTGAGCAACGTCACCAGCGCCTCTGTTAACTCCGACCTAACGTCATTAGAAATAAACAAAAGCCTTACTCTGTGTGATGTAGGACACGTGTCCCAATTTCAGTATGCATCACCATACTCAAACAAGGTCAAACACGGTAAGAAAGTTTCGACATTCGCCGTGTGACCTCTAACTTCCACAGCTGATTTTTTGTGTTGCTGGGACAAAGCACATCAAAACAGTTGAAATAGTTTTAAGAACTCACAATGTATATATGTGCCTACTTTAAACCATTTAGATGTGATAAATATATATGTTCATTCTATTTTGCTCTCTATATACACTCATAAATACAGTCATATTTCGTTTTTACAAAGTGTCACTTCTGTTTTTTTTTTTTTTTACGAAATCCGAGTTACTACAACGCACAAGAAGCGGAACTAAATAAAAATTGAGAACTCTGATATGCACAGGAGTTGCATCACTCTTGTCATCCCGCGAAGAACACTCACAGGCAAAGTTATAAAGTCCAACGATAGACATAGATTATTCATAGCATCAATAGCTGCCTCTGATATTGCAAACCCCCAAAATGTTAAAAGGTGTAAATGTAGACTGATTTCCAGTTGTCATAGGTTCGTGACCACTTTGGCTATTCCATTACATAGTACGCGAGGGCACATATTGTTACAAAGGTATGTCTATCGAAAGGCCGGCGATTACACGTTAACATACAATCTTTATCACAACTTCGGAATTTCTGTCTATTAATGCACCAATGTCCTTATTTATTGTCTCTGTATTCTTCTTACAGGTAACATGAACGAAAGCAGTAAATGACGCAACAGCCAGTTATGGCACCTCGAGCTATGGACACGAAGAGGCCAACAAATTACCCACATCTATTTTCGAGACTGAGACGTTTTCTGTTGGCACCTGTTCTGACTACCGTTGCCCTCCTTGCATTCACATTTCACTTCAATATCCTCACTAGTCCACGTGAATCAATTGACTTCAATGATGTGTCGAAGGAGGCCTCCTATAAATCGGTGTTACAACACTCTGACGGTAGCCTCGATGTCATATTTAATATCCCAGCCTCGTCAAATCTCGCGCGACAGCTCAAACAGACCAAGCATGCCACGAAAAAAGTTCTGGACAACATGAAAGGATTCGATAAATCGGCAAAACTGATAAATAAAACAATAGATAGGGCCGTGCCTACATCCGCTATTGTTGGAAATAAGACCGGAAGAAGGTTTGTGAAAAAGACACTATATCCCGTTACATTACAATCCCCGTATCTCATCAATAATGCTCAATTATGTAAGGACATGAAAAGACCAGGTTTGTTGGTGATTGTCCATACCGCCACAGACCATTTCAAACGACGTAGGTCCATCAGGGAAACTTGGGCTAACAAAAATATTCTTATCAATCATGGACTTAGGATAGTGTTTATGTTCGGCTTAACAAATAACAAGGACACAGAAATAATGCTGGAGAACGAGAGTGTTGTGTATGGTGATATTGTTCAAGGAAATTTCCAAGATACGTATCACAATCTTACTCATAAAGGTGTGTTAGCCTACCGCTGGATCAGCGAGTACTGCCCTGATGCAGACCTCATCGTCAAAGTCGATGATGACATGTTCGTCAATATCTTTTTGCTCCTGGAGGTATATTTTCCGAAATACAAGGACAACCCTCGGTTTATGGGCTGTCAGGTTAGACATAAGGGTACCAGTCCCATTGTCCGAGATAAAAGTAAATGGCAAGTCAACCAGGACGAATTCAAAAATATGACTCACTATCCTGTGACGTATTGCAATGGCTACTTCGTCATAATGTCACCGGGGATCATCCGGGAACTTTACCGAGCTTCGTTCATGACCCCGTTTTTCTGGGTTGATGATGTATATCTGTATGGGTTACTTCCATATAAAATAGGAAAGGTGAAACACATAGCTCTTAGTAGTAATCTGACATTAAGCCAGGAAGCTGGAATAAACTGCTTCACCGGAAATACTACCTGTAACTATTTAGGTGCGTACGCATTCAAAGAGGATGTGATGGAGAAACTCTGGTATGCCTCTTTATCTATGTTCAAAGGTTTAGCTGCCAAATATTTACCCAAGGAGTTGCTATTGACTTGAAACCAGGTGTGTTTAGGTATTGAAAGAAGTGACGACATTTTAAAAAGTGTACAGTCAATATTATATCAGCGTAATTCGTTTACACAGATCGCAAACAGGATGTGCACCAGGATTTGTTTTCTTTAAAAAATAATTTCGATTGTGATTTTGAATTTCGTAATGTCCCAAAGATATAATGAGCCAAACCATAAATTATCCTTGGTACAGTTGGTGCAGCTAATGTTTGAAGATACATTTACAAGTAACTGCTATATTGTCCTATTCATAATATGGAAACAGTTTGAGATAAATTATAATTTCGGCTTTCAAGAAAGAAGATATGGTAGGTATACGGAAACACAACTCTTGACTGGAGAATGAAAGTTGTTCCTATCCCGGTGCGGTCTTTGCCACGTTTAACATACCCTGCATTTAATGCCACGTGTTTTGATATTATATACATTTCATTGATACTCCGTATTTTGTGACACTATACCAAAACAGGGAAGGATACTGGGTGTCATTAAAGTGTAGTTTTAGTTTGATTTTATTAACAAGGTGCTGCACTTCTTAACGCAGGAGTTTTTAGTAAGATGATATACCTGTCGAAAGTAAAATCTTCCATTCCTCCACATTTTCCATACAAAGTAAGTAGCACTGTAAGGTTTAGGTCCGGATCTGTGAATGCTCAAACACTGTACATAAGTCTCTTTTGTATACCCGCTGTGTCATTGGGTTATTGTCCATCAAGACGTTTTTTCAAAGCCTTATGCCGGAAGGGGTGAGATAGGGGGTCTTAACTCAAGGGGTAATATTTTTAACAAGCAAGCTAACCGGCTGCTCGAAACTCGTCTTTCACAGAGGGTAAAGATAGAATTTTTCCTACCCTGGACGCCTTCTTGTCGTTATCGCATTGCTTGTCATTATTTTCTCTGAAGTTGCCGTCTTGGGATTTTCCATGAACGCATACATGTCTAGGACAATAGGTAGAAACATCGAAGGGAGGATAATTATAGTCTGTTTCATATAGGTACTGTATTTACCTGGTATATTTTACCTGTGGATCTACTTGTAATTTTTCCGTCTTACTGCAAAGTTACATAAAGGACATCAGTTACAAATATTAAAAAATTAACATTAATAATAACTTCACAAAAGAAACTTTTATACAGCACTAAAAGTTCAATTTAACACTACACACAGTAGCATCTACATAATGTAAGTTTACAGCACGAAAACTTCAACACTACACAGTAGAATCTGGTATGCACTATAGAATATATCTAGAACTACAATCACTTTACAACACTGCCCACAGTTCAACCAAAGTGAAGGAGTTGGTATGCTGCATCGGCGTAGTCATGATGTCAATAATGTTGTCCTCCAGTCTCTTTTTCAGTAGGACAAGGCGAGCATCAATGTTTCTCTACTTCTTTGGCCGAGGTCGTTTGGTTCCTCCCGACAAATACAGTTGGTGGGTATGTTGTTGTCTGTCATAAACGTCTGAAGAAGTATGAAGAATCCAGTGTAGATGTGTTGGCTTTTTCCCGTGTATAAGGGCGTATACAACTGGGTACATGGATCCGTCTAACTCGATGTTGATGTTGTTTATCTGATGGAAGAAGCTGGGGCAGGTATAGAAGGTTCCATCGCAGTATAGCTTGTCGGCTGCAGCGAGGTCAGCGAAGTCCTCTGATGTAGCAAAACGAGGATCCTACATTCGTCACCATCTGTAAGAAGCGGTCCCCAGCAGTGGTTTCGGTCCATCGTCCACCAAGTTCAATCTCCTGGGTTGTGGCTGGTAACTTTGGTGTGAGTTTTCGTCTCTTTCGGTTCAGTTGGGACTTCATACTGTTGAAGGGTATCTTCTCCACAACGGCCCTCGACTCCTCATCCAATTCGTCATCACGCAGTTTGTTGAGCTCTTCATTGTAGATGGTCGGGATAGGTCTTATTTCTCTCTGGCAGCGGTTGGTGATGCTGTGCATGATCTCCTTGGCAACAACGCTGGCGTGATCTCCTGGGTGGTTGTGTGAATGTCGTCCGACTCCTACTATGATGTTGTTGGGGGTATTGACAGTAGCAAGGCAGGTGATGATAGTACATCTCCAGTAAGTTCTGAAAGGAATAAAAACAGATTTCAATTTTGATGACACAGACGGGTTTACATATTTGCAGATGTATGGCTTTAAAATGATATTACAGATGTATCATTATAAATCAACAATTAATTATTGATATTTTGTCTCTTAATACTTCAGTATTGCAGGCAGAAAGTTCCATCTATATGTAAATGTATACATGCACATGTCGTTCTAAAAATTGAACCAACTTCTTACTCTGTTAAATTGATAAATAATAAATCTATGCATAATCATTTACATAATCATTTACCTTTCTCCGCGAGAAGACCTTATTCTGTATAAATGACCGTTATATGCTAAGTCGTTACCCCTATTCTATTCTGGATGAACTTAAAATCTAACTGAGCATTAGCCATGATTGATTTCTAACAATATCAGTTAAGTATCAGAACCTATTAATGAATGATGGAATTGGGGATTAATTTTGAATCTTATATAGATAAATATATAGCTTGGGTACTCATTATCATCTGAACCCAAAAATATTATAATTAAAAATTATATAGTGGAAATGATATCACAATAGTTTATATTATTTTGGAATACACAACAAAAATAATATAACATCATTAAACATGGCACGACAATTACATGTACATTAAGTGACCATATACTTTTTTATTATATGACGTCTTTAATTATTTTATTTTATTCCCCCCCTTTTTTTCTGAGTTTCTTATACATGTACAGGTCAGAACCACAGGTAAAAACACAGGTGAACTGACCTAACATTTATGATATAGATTATAATCACTGTAAAGTTCCAGGTAGATGTTTATAATATGTATGGTTCCGGGATACAGTCATTGTCTTGATAGGGGAACCCACAATCACACCTCATGACAAGGGAATTTTGTAACATTTAACTCGTCCAGGGTAAGAGAAAATGAAAGTTCATACCACTAAAATCTTGGAACCCCTGTCCAAGGTAAGAGAAAATGAAAGTTCATACCTGTAAAATCATGGACACACCTGTAAGAGAAAATTAAAGCATCGTGGATACCTCTGCCCAGAGTAAGAGAAATGGAAAGTTCATATCGGTAAAACCGTGGATATCCCTGTCCAAGGTAAGAGAAAATGAAAGTTCATACCAAGAAAATCGTGGATAGACTGTCTAGGGTAAAGTAAAGGAAATAATAGACAAATATGGATATACTTGTCCAGATTAGGAGAAAAATGAAATAATAAAATAAATCTTGGATGCTTTTCGCTAGGGGAAAGAATCATGGAACCGAAATCTAGCCTAGATTTAGACGTTTTAAGAACAATAGGGTGAGATTGACTTTGTATGCCTTGAAGCGCTGTATGTACCATTTTGTATGTTGTTTGATTGTTTGAACGTGAGGATAGCGTGTGGGTGTTTTTATTGGGCCGGGAAAGACACTGTTGGTGTTATTACTCGTTTATTACAAATAAACATTACAATTTGACTATTTTATTGTTTTACCTAACTTTGTCATGTGATTGGTCACTTGATTTTGTGATTCTACGGATATTGAACCCGTCTGTTGACAGTGTAAAACAAAACGAAAGTTCTCCAAGTGTTTCTGTTACTCACCCAACTCCATTCACCTGTACGTTGTTTTTTTTTTCATTTAAAGTTAAAACTAGGTAACACGAAGTATATATAAACTTATGTGGAAACACAGCCATTGGTACTGTATACCCTTTAGTTTGAGATTTCAGCATAGTTGTTAAGATGCCATTAGAGACGAGAGGACATCATTTCGTTCCGTCCACTAAGCCATTTCTACAGATATTTCCGAATTCTTTAGGCCGTCACCTGGTCAATACCAGGTTTATCTCGTTCATCGTTGGAAAGACGGAACGTTTCAGGTAATACACGTTACTAAGGTTTACGACTTTTAGGGTATCCAAAACATATTTTTAAAACATTTGTTCAGTTTTGCCTACTCGAGAATATTACAACCCATCTCAATATAAAACTTACATAGTCCGTGGCTTGGGTTTCATGCCAAGTCCCTGTGTCACTATAAAACTTGTATATCGACCGTGGCTTGGGTTTCATGCCAAGTCCCTGTGTCACTATAAAACTTACATAGACCGTGGCTTGGGTTTCATGCCAAGTCCCTGTGTCACTATAAAACTTACATAGACCGTGGCTTGGGTTTCATGCCAAGTCCCTGTGTCACTATAAAACTTACATAGACCGTGGCTTGGGTTTCATGCCAAGTCCCTGTGTCACTATAAAACTTACATAGATCTTGACCGTGGCTTGGGTTTCATGCCAAGTCCCTGTGTCACTATAAAACTTACATAGACCGTGGCTTGGGTTTCATGCCAAGTCCCTGTGTCACTATAAAACTTGTATATAGACCGTGGCTTGGGTTTCATGCCAAGTCCCTGTGTCACTATAAAACTTACATAGACCGTGGCTTGGGTTTCATGCCCAAGTCCCTGTGTCACTAAGTCCCTGTGTCACTATAAAACTTGTATATCGACCGTGGCTTGGGTTTCATGCCAAGTCCCTGTGTCACTATAAAACTTGTATATCGACCGTGGCTTGGGTTTCATGCCAAGTCCCTGTGTCACTATAAAACTTGTATATCGACCGTGGCTTGGGTTTCATGCCAAGTCCCTCCCTGTGTCACTATAAAACTTACATAGACCGTGGCTTGGGTTTCATGCCAAGTCCCTGTGTCACTATAAAACTTGTATATCATATGCCAAGTCCCTGTGTCACTATAAAACTTGTGGCTTGGGTTTCATGCCAAGTCCCTGTGTCACTATAAAACTTAATAGACCGTGGCTTGGGTTTCATGCCAAGTCCCTGTGTCACTATAAAACTTGTATATCGACCGTGGCTTGGGTTTCATGCCAAGTCCCTGTGTCACTATAAAACTTGTATATCGACCG